CAGCAGAACAGACACTGCTGCTATAAGCTCTATCTACAGCTCTCCCAAATCTGACCCTCCAGCTCTCCCTATTGGGAGGCCTTCTAGATCAGATTTTGGGATGCACAGGAATGCAAAGTACACCTGCTTGCGTAATATTGGACAGAACCGATTAGCACAGGTAGCAGGGGAGGAAAAGAATAAATCACTTGCATTTCCTCTTTTGTTTCTCATCTGATACAAACTTGAGCTACTGTGTTATAAACCACCTTACACAATTTCCACATAACTTATTTTCATTGAATTACACAGAATGTCTATGAAATAGCTCAAGCAGAGAATCTCCTGACATTTTTTTGGCCAACTAAATTCTTTTAGTTGTCCAAAGTTTTTCACAATCTTTATAACATCCATGCTCAGAGACATTAAGATGATCTTTATATTTCCCTTGCTAATAAACTTGTAACTTGAGCCTGAAACAGAATGACTAGGTCATGTTTACCAGCAACCTAAGGAAATAAAGCAACTGCTATTGCAAGGAACAAACAGAAGATAACCCTGACTAATTTTACTGAAGGTTTTAAGGTATGAAAACAAAATCTCAAAACTTTCAAGTACTCAAAAACATCCCTTTTAGGAAGCCAAATGCCTCAAAACCTATCTTAAAATGTCAGCTTCTTTTTCATAAATAGCAGTACAATGACAAAAGAATGAAAAGCTATAGACATTATTTTAATGAACTTAGGGCCTTTACAGACAACCAGAAATAATGCAGCTTGAGACCACTTTAACTGTCCTAGCTCAATGCTAGGAAATCATGGGAATTGTAGTTTTTTTCTGAGACACTTAGCCTTCTCTGTCATAGAGCTCTGGTGCCACAATAAACTACAGTTCCCATGATTCCCTAGCACTAAGCCAGGGCAGTTAAAGTAGTCTCAAACTGCATTATTTCTGGCAGTCTGTAAAGGCCCGTAGTCTCAAAGACAGCTTTAGGAATTCTGCAGTCTAGAACAAAAAAATCCTATGAGGACTAAATCACAAACAAGCAGTTGCACAATATCACAGCTACAAACAAACATCTTCACAAGAGAATGACAGAGACCCCAGCCTTTCTGGTTTGAACATGGAAGCAAGACCAATCTGTCACTGGATGCCAGGAATGGGCCTACATATTTAAAAGATTCACACATTTTAATTTGTAACATTTCATCTGTAACATGAATACCTGGATACTTTCGCTTAAAGGAAGTCACGCCCAAATATTCACTGACTTGCTCTTGAAGCATGTAGTATTCTCCTGTTTCATCAGGTGGCCATTTGTATTCTATCAGGTTTTCAGCTGGAAAGTAGCTAAAGCTAAACAGAGAAAGATCAAGCCTGAAAAAATCAGAGTTTAACAGTATGGCATTTCATCCCACAAGTAGGGTTGTCTGTGTTGGTACTGTTCTGTATTCATATTATAAACCACTTAAGCATGCTTGGAGGTAACTGTACCAACATTCTAAATAGACAAATCAATAAATAATGCTGTCCTATTAGAAATGAAACCTCACATCCAACGATTCAACTATTAGATATTAAAACGTCCAATTTTCAGGGCCAGTCTCCTGAAGATTATGTCATTTTGTTGCTTTATTAAACCAAATTTCAGCTTTCTAGCAAAAGTAAGAACAGCTTAACCACTCTGGAATATACTTCCAGCTCTCCATTTTAAAGGAGAAAAGCACCAATGTCTTATTTACAGATTCTTGTAGTGACCATTTTTGACTATATGTACACCAAACTTCAGAGATCTAGTTAATTCTAGTTTAATTTAATTCATAAATTTTAGTTAAGAAATATTCTAAGAATACCAGTACTTTGTGAATAAGCAAGTCCAGTGAGGCCCAAGCATTTATATATTTTATAATTACATTTTTGTTGATTCATTCAAGAGTTTGCTGGAAAAGAATACATAATACAACAACCTAGAAAAAATATTTTTTAAAAAACACAGTAATACCTGAGATCTTGGCTTGAAGTTTCACAACTTCGTGAACTGTCCCCTGAGCCCATTCGTCGCCTTTTAGATGGCTGGCTGCCATCATTTGAATTTTCTTCTGTATCATCCTGAGACAAGAGCACAAACACTAAAATGCTGAAGATAACTCATTCATCATCAATGTGGAGTATTAAGCTTTTACATATTAAAAGTCTTAACAGTACAGATTCTGGTTACATTAGAAACCTAGATCAAAAATCACATGCATTTTAACATCAGGTGCTGTTTCTTTTACCATGTTAGACAAAGCTGAAGGAGTCACTTGGGCAGCAAAATTTTCAGAAATGCCAAACAACTGGAATATAGCCCAAGAGCAGAAGAACTGCCTCAGGATCTCTGAAAATGGCTTGAAGGATGCTGCAGTGGATGCACTTCCTACACCACACACAGCTTGCTGGGACCACATATCCTGGATCATATATCTCTGGGATTCTGTGTTGGTCAGCTGGGGCAGCAAAATATCTTTCTTTGGTAGCCCTGAAGGAAAACATACTACTGCAGCAGTAGACAGTGAAGCTGGACTCTCGAAGAAGCTTGAAGAAAACTGCACTGAAATCAAATCAGTATACTTCCCAGGAAGTAAGCTTGGGCAGTTTTTTAATGACTCTGGACAAGATTCCAACCTATCTTGTTTAATGAGGTCTCTAGCCTTCCAGGAAACTGAGATATGAGGCAAAATACGCAGTCGCCAATTTACTCACCCGTTCTGCAAGAAGCAAGCAAGGTCTTGCCTCTCAATGGGTTAAATCAGGGGTAGGCAACCCCTTTAAGGGCCGAGGGACTTCAGCTCCCAGAAGCCTCAGCCATGTTGGCCAATAGTCCCATGTTGGCCAATAGCTCCTGGGATTCTGGGAGCTGAAGTCCCTCGGCCCTTAAAGGGGAAAGGTTGCCTACCCCGGGTTAACTCAATAAACCAAGTCCCTCACATTTGCAGGGACTTACAGTTTTGTAACTATAAAGCAATCCATTGATCTCTGTAGTCCAAATACGTACAACCCTGGCTCTAATAGGCACAAGGATGTTCCTGTTCATTTCAATAGATCAAGAAACCTCTTTTGTGTCATACTGTCTTTCAGCCTTAAGTCCACCTTATACACTAACCCAGGAGTAAGCCTAACTTCTGGACTCAATGGCACTTACTTCTAAGTAGATATTTCAGGACTTCATTGTTAATTGACTTTTTAAAACGAAAGTACAATAACTTCACATCAAAGACGGGAAACTTTCCTTATACATTGAGACAACTGGTACCCTGGGACCATTTCTGAAAACAGAAGCCAGTTCTCAATAATGCACCAGAAGGATCTGGGGATCTCCACTGTTTGAAGTGAAAAGATCATCCCACCATCCTCTTTGCCTTTTCTGCTTCTTCTCTCCCACATCTCTTCTCTTTCCCTCTGCTCTTAACCTCAAGGGCTGCATCTGCAGTGCAGATATAATGCAGTTTGACACCACTTTAACTGCCATGGTTTGATGCTAGGGAATTCTGGGATTTGTAGTTTGGTGAGATATTTAGCCTTCCCTGTCAGAGCTTTGGTGCCACAACAAGAGGAGATTTTTAAAAAAGCCATCCCACTCTGGTTGATGTCACACTGCAGAATGAATGCAGTTTGACACAGCTTTAACTGCAATGGCTCTGTCCTAAAGAATCCTGGGATTGGTAGCTTGTTGTGGAGTCAGTGGCCTCTGACAGAGGCAGCTAAATATCTCACAAAACTACATACCCCAAAATTCTATATCATGCAGCCATGGCAGTTAAAGTGGTGTCAAACTGAATTCATTCTGCAGTGCAGATGATTGGAGGTGTATCTAGAAATAATGAAGTTTGGCACCAGTTTAACTGCCGCAGCTCCAGCCTACAGAAACCTGGGATTTCTTGTTTTGTGAGTTATCAGCACTCTCTGGCAGAGAAGGCTAAAGACCTTGTAAAACCACGAATCCCAGGATTCCATCACAGCTAAAGCACTTAAAGTGGTGTCAAACTGGATTATTTCCATAGTGTGTAGATTACTGGTTCTCAGACTTTTTACTCTTGTGACCCTCTTTACATCTACATCCGGAGGTTACCCCCCTCCCCATAGTATATGACTCAAAATACTTTGGTGCAAAACACAATGCAGAAATAATCCAGTTTGAGACCACTTTAGCTGTCCTGGCTCGATGCTAGGGAATCATGGGAACTGTAGTTTTGTGAGACATTTAGCCTTTTTTGTCAGAAAGAGCTCCGGTGCCACAATAAATTACAGTTTCCAGGATTCCATAACACTGAGCCAGGACAGTTAAAGTGGTTTCAAACTGGATTATTTCTGCAGACCTTTGTTTAGTGTGTGTATTTTCATTCACACATCCATGTATACCCATATTTTAACGTCTTATAAGGAAATAGCTCTTCTCTTCCGGCAGAGGCTTGTAGATGAGCCCTGAGATGGCTCTTTTCTATCACCAATTTGAGGATGCTTTGTTTGAATACTGTGAAGAATTTAACTCTGTTCTAAGGTTCACTTTAGGGCCTGTACAGACTGCCAGAAATAATCCAGCTTGAGACCACTTTAACTGTCCTGGCTCAATGCTAGGGAATCATGGGAATTATAGTTTTTTTTTTTGTGAGACATTGAGCCTTCTCTGTCAAGAGAGCTCTGGTGCCACAATAAACTACAGTTCCCATGATTCCCTAGCATTGAGCCAGGACAATTAAAGTGGTCTCAAGCTGAATTATTTCTGGCAGTCTGTACAGGCTCAGAGTCTGGGTGGCCATTTGTCGGAGGTGCTTAGATTGTAAATTCCTGCATGACAGAATTGAGTTGGGCTGGATGGCCTTTGGAGTGTCTTCCAACTCTATGATTCTATGCTTTCAATCTGCATTGTTCTTATAAAGGATGAACCACTTTGAGTCCCAGTTTTTTTGGGGGGTGGGGATGCAAGATACAAACAAACAATAATAATTTATTGTTGTTATGCCTTCAAGTTGTTTCCAACAGGAGCCAGCATGGCATAGTGGTTTGAGTGTTGGACTATGACTCTACAGGCCAGGGTTCAATTCTCCACTTAGCCATGGAAACCCACTGGGTGGCCTTGAGCAAGTCACACTCTCTCAGCTTCAGGGGAAGGCAACAGCAAACCTTCTCTGAACAAACCTTGCCAAGAAAACCCCATTGTAGGTAGTTGGAAACTACTTGAAGGCACACACCACCACCAAGGTGGGGTTTTCTGGGTCAGATTTGTTCAGAGGGGATTTGCCTTTTGCCTTCTTGAGGCTGAGAGTGTGTGACTTGCCCAGGGTCACCAAGTGGATTTCCATGTCCAAGCAGGGATTTGAACCCTGGCCTCCAAAGTCATAGTCTAACACTTAAAGCAGTACATCATGCTGGCTCTTTGTTGTTGTTGTTATGTTGTTATTGTTGTTATTGTGTTGTCTGCCTTCAAGTTGTTTTGACTTACAGCGGCCCTATCTTGGGGTTTTCTTGGCAAGTTTCTGCAGAGGAGTTTTTGCCACCGCCATCTCTGAGGCTGAGAGAGTGTGACCTGCCCATGGTGGGTTTTTATGCCTGAGCGAAGATTCGAACCCTGGCCTCCAGAGTCCTAGTCCAACACTTAAACCACTATACCGCACTGGCTCTCATAATAATAATCGTTATTATTATTATTATTATTATTATTATTATTATTATTATTATTATTATTATGTTGTTGTTGTTGTTGTTGTTGTTGTTGTTGTTGTTGTGTGCCTTCAAATCCGACTTACTGAGGCCCTATCACGGGGTTTTCTCCTCTAGTTTCTTCAAATTTTTTTTTTTTAGTGTCGCCATCATTTGAGGCTGAGAGAGTGTGGCTTGCCCAAGGTGGGTTTTTAATGCTTGAGCGGGGGGTTCGAACCCTGTTCTCTAGAGTCAACATATAGGCCAACGTTCAAACCACCACACCACGCTGGCTCTCATAATAATAATAATAATAATAATAATAATAATA